GAGTAGACCCCCCGTAGCTAGCTGGCGCCGCCCCAACCGTAGCCTTCGCTCGCCGTGTGCTCGCCGCCGTCGCCGCCCGAGCTCCGTAGCACCCGCTCGTCGCCGGCCTCGCTCGGCGTAGTTCCGCCCAATCCGACGCTAGCATAGGATTCCCGTGGCCGCGTGGATGCTCTCACCGCCGGGAATCGACCCCTCGTGGCCTCGTCGCCGTTTCCCTCTTCTCCCGCCACCGGTTGCCGCCGCCGCAATCCGCCGCCGTCGAGCAACCTCCGGCGAATCCGAGCCGTTGGCTCGTCTCCCCTCATCACGAACAACCGCCCGGTGTGCTCGCTTTTGCCCGTATCACCGTGGTTCACTCCCCCGCTCGCCGCCGCCGCCCCCCGTCCATTCGCGGCCGGGTCGTCGTCTACCTCCCGCCGGCCCGCGTGGCAGCCACGTAGGCGCCACGTCGGCGCCAGCTCAGCCTAGACCGGGTCGAGCCGACCCCGGTCGGTCCTTCCCCGTGCGCGCGTTGCACCGCGAGCCGTGAGGCTGCGCGTGGGCCCGCCGCATCCGCGTCCACCGTAAACCGCGCGCGTGCACCGCGTCCCAACCCCGCCCGCGCGCGTGCGCCGCGTGCTCCCTCCGCACGGTGAGCCGAGCCGCTGACAAGCGGGTCCCACCCGGGACCGCGCGCGGTGAGCTCGGTCCACCGGTCCCCTCTCTCCTCCCCTCCCGCGCGCGCTCTGGGCCGCCTTTTGGGCCGGCCGGCCCATTAAGCTCGGCCGAGGCACCCCAAATCCCTTGGGCCGCACCCTAGCCGCCCGAGGAAAGTCTAAATTTCCTCCCTCCTTCCTTTTCTTTTTCTTTTCCAAAAAGGATTTAATTAAATCCTTTTCCTTTAGATCAAAAATTCAATAATCTTAGAAATTCAATATCTTCCCGACCGTAAGTCCGTTTGACTCCGTTCAACTTCCAAAATTCCTCAAATCTCGAGATCTATCTAATGGCACGCTTAGAGGTCATTAATAGGGCTTTATTCTCGCCGTTTGTTGAGTTGTCCCGTTTCGCGTGTAGTTTCGGAGGCCGAAGACCCGCAGTGCGAGGATTTCGAGGATCAAGCTCCAGATCTCGAGCAAGGCAAGCCACCTTGAACATCTTGAGCCTATATTTGAAATTTAAGTATATTGCTTGCAAAATATTACGCATTGATAGGATCGCACTTAATCTGTTGTCCCGTCTGCAAGGCAGATTGGTGGACCTACCAAATTTGTTGCATTTGATCCTTCCTTCGTTAATTGATATACCATGTCCCCCTTGAAACCATCTAGTTGCGTCTCGATATTCGTGCACTAGTGCGAGTACCGACGGACGCCTTCAAACTTAAAATCTGAGTAAAAATTTGGGTAAAACTGGAGTTTTACAAAAGACTTGGAAAACCCGACACCTGGGTCGGTGCCTGCGAACTAAATGAATTTCCAAAACCGCGGATCGGGGAACGTACCGGGTGTACGGTTTCCCGCTCTTGCACTTAAGGACCGAATCCTTGGAATTTCATCCAAACATAAGATAAGTACGACCACATGGGTGGAATGGGACACCCCCTGGCTGAGTAACTAGCTTATCAGGGGAGCCTTGATGCCGAGAGACATGTGGATTCGCCGGGGTGGTATCGGGGAGGACCCCTGGGCTTCCTGGCACAGTATGGTCTGGGACCTAACCTGTTGTTGGTCTGGGACCCCTCTCGTCTGCATATGGTAAACCTGTATCAGCTTTGGAAATGCCTTGTCATGAAAGCTTGGAGGTCTCCCGACGTGGCTGATCCCCACGGGTTGGGTGATCCGGGTTAGTAATGTCGTGTGGGTAAAGTGTACCCCCTCTGCAGAGGTTATTAAACTGTTCGAACAGCCGTGCCCACGGTCATGGGCGGATGTGAGGTGATTCCTAGCGTAGTTTTGTTTGACTACTGCTTGTGAAATTGCTGTTGTGAAAAGGGGTTCGATGTTTGAAAAATCAGTAGCTGACGGGATCAGCTAGGCCCGGGTGGCCGTTGAAAGTTGTTGGCCCGGGTGGCCGTTTGAAAAGTTGTTGGTCCGGGTGGCCGTTGGAAAAGCTGTTGGCCGGGTGCCAATCTTGTTTCATTTCTAAAGACTGATACATTGCACATACTCCGACCGGACGAGGCGCACTGTCTTATCCGTGACGTTTGAGAAGCACTCACCTAGTTGTTTTAGAAAAGAGTTCAGATAAAATCAATTGCAAAATACCAGCCTTTCCTTGAAGCCTGCATTAAACACTTAATTCCCCTGGCTTGCTGAGTACTCCCGTACTCACCCTTGCTCTATATAAATAATCCTCCCCCAGTTGCTGAAGAAGATGAAGTGGATCCTGCTGATGAGGAGTTCTTCCAGGAGCAAGCCGGCTACGACGAGTTTTAGGGTTTCGGCCTAGTTCCCAAGTCGTGCCTGTGATGATTGGTCCAAGTCCTGGCTTCCGTTTCCCTTTTGTAATACAGTTGTGAGCTCGGGATCTGTCCGCAGCCCAACATGACTGTACTCTTACTCTATAATAAAGAGACCTCTGTTGCTGTGATATTCTGTCTTCCTGTGATACCAGCACTGTTTCCTGGGACTGGTATCGATTAACAGGTTAATTTGGAACGTCACGGGCTAGTTCCAGTCGGGACTAGTTCGGGGCGTGACAATTGATGAGATTATTAAATATTTTTTTTGACATAATACTAGCTTTTCTTACATAATACAGATTTTTATCAAAGCAGTTATTTTTCCACATAATAGAGAGAGATTTTATCAGAACAATTGTTTTTTCACATAATTCTAAAACAACATCTTATCATCGTTCTGCAGTAAAGCACCATATCCCATCGGAACTCGTTCTCATCGATCGATCGTTCATCCGGCACGGAGATTAGCTAACCTGACGGTGCTCCACAGAAGGGACGAGGACACTGCAGGCTCCCTGCAGCTAAACCCTACGTAAATATAAGCCCTTGTCTGGCCGAAGAACAAACCGTAGCTTTTCTTTGTTGCTAATTTCCCCCGGCCGATTGCTAACGATGCATTAACAGCAGTACTAGTAGCTGAGCTTGCACCCGGGCCGCCGCTGCCTCCCCTCCCAACGGGCCACCGACACGAGCGATAGAGAGCGAGGGCGATGGATCTGGATCGAGAGAGGAGACCGAGAGAGAGAGAGAGGAGACTGGATGGATCTCGATTGAGGGAGGGCTGGTGGCCTTGTCTCCTTGTGGAGGGCCCCACCGGGTTGGCTCATTTCTTAGGTGTCGGTTTTATAAGAAAACTAGCACCTATAATACATTATAGGTGCTAGTTTTTCTTTAGAATCGACACCCATAGATGTTAATAAAAGGTGCCGGTTTTCTACTTTTTATCCCGCGGAAGGTGGGGAAAGGTCCATATGTGCCGGTTTTAAAGAAAAACCGACACCTATAAGGCCGGTCCCTATGAGGGTTCTTGTAGCAGTGGAAAGAACGGTTCTTAAAACAACTATACAAATTTCATGAAAATACAAATCACAGGGACAACAAAATTATAGCAGAAATATAGCAAAGTTTGATCTGGAGAGCACTATTGATGTAGTAATGGAGTTGTACTGGACGCATGCAACTCCATCCATCAGGTTTGAGTTCTAAATCTCTTTTGGCTTTTACAACTCTTTACGCACGTTTACCGTTCGCACGTTTTCCAATCTGCTGAATGATGTACTTTTTAGAAAAGATATAAGTTCTTTTTAAAAATTAAATAAGCTTATTTTTAAATTTATAATAATTAATATCATATCCTAATCCTAATCATTCATATCGTTTTACGAGTGAACCATAATCTCAGCCGAAATGACATCTCAAACGCAGCATAAATCCTTCATAAATATGGTTTGCATGCAGTAGCTGGATTTTGATTGTTTTCAATAGAGAATGGAGGAAGATTGACATAATCACATTACTAGTACCGGTTCTACCTTTTTTTAATCCCGGTTGCAGTAACCGAGACAAGAAAACTGAAACTAAAGTTCTTAATTTTTAGTACCGCCAATTGAAGGAACCAGTATTAAATGCATACTAAGTAAAAAAAAATAGGCGATTCCATTATTCCTTATATGTAGGAACTGAGCAGAGATCGACAGTGTGAGTAAACTTCCATACACATCCACTATAAGAAATTCTTGGCCATGGTAATCCTGAGACGTACTGATGCTGACAGCAGTGGGTTCGACAGAAACACGTGAGTAAACAGTGTGAGTAAACTTCCATACACATCCACTATAAGTGCTATGTAAGTAGATTAAAACACGTGAATACCTATAGGACGTTCGACAGAAACGAGGTACCAAACATTCAAACTTTTTTAAGCCTTTGCATCCAACACTGATGTCATTGTTAGCAAGCCCGTAAGAGAGTAGAAATATAACAAGATTATCCAAAAATTAGAGGAAAACAGGGGACTAATTGTGTAGTTAATTATAGCGTAAGTAAAATGTAATTGTTCATTCAATATATACTTGAGCTGGCTTAGTGGTTGGAATGCTGTCTTATTTAAGGGGAGGGCCTAGGATTGATTCCTGTCTACAACACTTTTTTTTTTTTGCTGTTTACTTCCTTCTTGCACGGACGAATAACAGAGCGGATCAAAGTACTGAAAATTCGACAGTTTTCTCCATTTTTTTTTTGCTGTTTTCTTCCTTCTTGCCCGCACGAACCACGGAGCGGATCTAAGGGCTGAAAATTCGAGAAAACTGTCGCAAGTTTTCTAGCAATTTCATTTTTGAAATATTAGTACTTGTAAGTACAAGACCATAATTCATAGTTATCTTTAATGACAGACCTTCATATTATTAGAGATACGTAATTATTAGAGATACGTAATGTCACTTGGTTTCTAGCTATTTATATAATATAATATAAAACCGGAAAAGTACATACCACCGAAGGATCATAAATAATTTTAATAAGAATGAACATTACAACTTACAACTGGTTGCAGATAACTTGTACTTAGCTCCTTGATTGATTTAAATATTTTTTTGACATAATACCAGCTTTTCTTACGTTATAGGGAGATTTTACCAGAACAGTTGTTTTTCCACATAATAATTATAAAACAACATCTTGTCATCGCCCAGTAGTAAAACACACCGTATCCCATCAGAACTCTTTGTCATTGGCCACGGAGATTAGCTAACCTGACAACGGTGTTCCACATAAGGGACGAGGACACTGCAGGCTCCCTGCAGAAGCTAACCCTCCGTAAATATGAGCTCTGGTACGGCCGAAGAACAACCCGTAGCTTTTCTTTGTTGCTAATTTCCCCCGGCCGATTGTTAACGATGCATTAGCAGCAGTACTATTTGCTGAGCTTGCACCTGTTTTAGTTCTCTTTTCCAACCTGTCAATAAATACTGCTTTGTACTCCCTAGTGGGCATGGGTAGAAGAATCTGTGGCGAGTCGGTAGTGTCATGCAGCTCGGAAAGGATGGTGGCCGGCCACCGCAGCGGCGCGGGGCTATGGCTAGGCTGGTTGATGAACCGCACGATGCTCTCCATGAGCCTCCTGCTGGTCGCGCGGAGAGGGCTGTAGAGGTGGAACCCGTGGTCCTCGCCCTCCGACTCCACCACCGTCACGTCGGCGCCGCCGCGCATGCGCGCCGCCAGCCGACAGCCGCGGTCGCGCAGCGTGTCCATCCCGGCCACGGCCATCAGCACACGGCGGCAGGACAGGGACGTGATCTCGTGGTCGGCGGGGTCGATCCGGTGGTCGTCGTTCCCGGCCTGGCCGGCCGTCACGAATGGCCACAGCTCGTCCACCTTGTACGGGGGGAACGCCGACACCCCGTCGTCCCAGACCGTCTCGGACGGCAGCCTCTCGGCTCCCCAGAAGAAGGGCTGCACCATAATAAGTCCTTGGATGTCGTCGTCGTCGTTCTCGCGGCTGGCGCGTGCCACCGTGTGGTAGGCGATGTTGCCGCCGGCGCTGTCACCGGCGACGAACGTCCGGCGGAGGTCGCCGTACTGCGCGAGCCACGGGTCGGAGAGCGACTCCACCCACCGGAACGCCGCCCACGCGTCGTCGTACGCCGCGGGTATGGGATGCTCCGGCGCGAGGCGGTACTCGACGGACACGACGAGGGCGCCGGTGCGCGAGGCGAGGGAGGCGGCGTAGCGGTGGTACGTGCGGCAGAAGGCGCTCTCCGTGCAGAAGCAGCCGCCGTGGAAGTAGAGCACGATGGGAAGCCTCCTCCTGCCGGCGGCAGCGGCGGCACCGGACGGGAGGAATAGCCTCGCGGACACGCCGTTGTCTCGGTCGATGGCGACATCCCTTGTCGCGACCCCTCGTGCGGCGCCGGCGCCGCCGTCCTCCGATGCCGGCACAAAGGTGCTAGTGAGGAACCGCACGACGCAGCCGTCGTTGTACTTGCGGATGAAGGGGTAGAGATCGAGGGCGACATTACTGGAGGCTGCGCGGCCATTTGTTGCCACGCGAGCCTTCTTTGATTGCATGGTGGTGGATATGTACGTTACGTACGTATTACGAGGGCGTTCAGCTATAGGCAGCCGGCCGTTTAGTTTACAGGCTTTGCTGTTTGGTCCTTGGAGTGCTGTGCTGCTAATGCATGGCTCCGTCTTGTGGGGTTTTTATAGCCGACGGTCGCCTAGCTCCCTCCGGAGAACACCGCGAAAGGTATCTTCCTCTCTTTCGCCTTGTTCACGGCCCTAGTTACGAACAGAAGCCCATGGTGTGAAATGCGTAATGAGATCAGGGTTTGAAATTTCGGAATTGGTTTTCTTGCCGGTGGAGATCAAAATTTCGGAATTTTCTGGCCGAAATTATTTGAAAATTTGAGTGATTTTGAATAAAATTTGACCAAATTCACAAAAATTTGCAAAAAAGGGAAATTTTGGGCGAGATGTAAGCTTGCCGGTGGGGGGCGAAATTACCGAAATTTCGAAAATTTCAAACCCTGAATGAGATCCTAAAATTTAACGGTCGAATACCCCACAATCATGTCATGACGATTGACATGCGATGAATTGTAGAACGGTAGAAAATACGGACAAACATCTAATCATGATGACTCGTAGAGCGTGATTACATCTATTTTTAGTCGATATAGCTTTAGGTATTAGGCATGTTGTGTCCTTTTACTTTTAGTTATGGGCATTAGTTTTGACCTTCTGTTCTTTAGTATTCGAGTTAAGCCACTAATTAAGTATATTTGATACTCCATATCCTATCTTACTATAAAGTTATCTCCCACTAACTACTTAAGCTTAACATGCAAAGATGCCACATCATCATCCACTAACAAGATGCCACATCATCATCCACTAATTAACAAGATGCCACATCATCATCCACTAACAATGATCACATTTAAACATCATACAAACATGCTATATCTTTATAGTTTTTATAATTTAAGAGCTTTTCAAATACAAACATGTTAAATTATCATCTAACATAATTCACATAATATTTCAATGTATATCTTTATTATGTTTTTTGATATCCTATATACTTATATAGTCCATCCTCTCTTAGGTAGTGCTTAAATGATTAATCTTGTCGACGGGGGATACCCGTAGACCGGATATAAAGGGTATTGGGGTACGCTAGTACGAGGATCTACGTAGTACGACATCAAGCAAACAGGAAACAGGGATTATACTGATTCAGGTCCCTTGGTAGGTAATAGCCCTAATCCAGTTGATGTGAGATTATATGACGAAAATCACAGATTACAAAGGGAATAGTGGAACTCGGTGATACCGACGAGGCCGTAGTCGAGTTGGTTCGACTAGATCACCCGGCGACTTGGCTCCAATAGGCTCCGGCTTCGTAGGCTGTGATGGTTGTCTTGTCTATGTGACTCGATGCCTTTGGTCCTCCCGAGGGGTCCCTTTTATATCGCAGGTCAGGTGGTTTCCTAGTAGGACTCGGAGACATCGGACCCTGCACGATACAGTGACGACCCAGTCCTATATGGGTAGAAATCTTTCCATTTGTGGACTTCGTGATGAATTTCCTTAACATATACAGAGAACGTCCGTACACGCGCAGATATACCATATCGCTGTATAGCGTCTATCCAAGGGTAGAGTGTATGCCTTATCCGTAACCCTGACAAATCTATGGTCCAAATTATCTTTCTTCTTTTTTTCTCTAATTAAGTCATATCACATCAATTGTTTTTAGCCTTGAGATGAATAATCTACGGTCCAAACTATCTCCCTACTTTTCTTCTTCCATAAAGTCATACCACCTTACTTTTTACGTTTGAATCATCATTCTACATACTATTGAAATTTAAATTATCATAAACCACACTAATTTACTTAATCTGATGTTATCTAGCTATCTTACACATTATTTTTTTATTGTTATCATACTAAATTCCCGCAGCAATGCGCGGGGTTTCACCTAGTTATTAAGATTTGGCGGCTCTAATTTCTTTTTTTTTTTGGTTCTTAGAGATCGCACACCTCGTAGCTCGCATATGCCATTATTGTATGGCCTTGGCCTTGTTCTACGTACAACTTGCATTAGGCTATTTTCAGCAACAGCTGATTGGGAGAAAAACTCCTTCGTTCTTCACGTGATCGACTCCCGAACTGCTAAACGGTGTGAGTCTTTTACAAATTTTTCTAAAAAAGTTGCTCTAAAAAATCATATTAATTTATTTTTTAAAATTTAGCACTACGGTGTGAGTCTTTTTTGAGTCCCACTACGATGCTCTCTACTCGTAATAGAAAGCAATTTGATCTCATTTGATCTAATTTGTTTTATAAAGCAAAATTTTGTCAATCGATAAACAAGGGCCCCTCGCATCAATGTGATTATCGATTGACAAATAGATGACGTGATCACTTTTTAACAAACATTCAACTATTAGTTTTATTAAAAATACAAAATTATTATTTATTATAATGTTGATTTGGTTTATTATTAAATCTATGTTAAGTTTGACTTATATTTTTACATAACTTTTAATGAAACGAATGAGTCTAAAAAAGTTAATTAATAGCATTATCCATCAAAGGTCAGATGGAGTATTAGCCCTAGGGGTGAAAACGGAGCGGATAGTTTCCGTCCGCTCCGGTCAAAAACGGATACGGATAGTGTTCGGAGCGGATTTTTTTCAGATAGTTCGAATACGGATACGAATACGGATATTTTTTCTCCGGATACGGATACGAATATGGTAACGCAGTTTCCGGCGAATACGAATACGGAGCCGAATATCCGGAGATTAAGATGCGCGGATATCCGCGTAACGCTTGATGTCTCTCCAGCCTCCAGCCCATCCCTTCAATTTCAGCACATAGTTTTCTCTCGACTATCTAAACCCTAGCTGCCAGATGGGTGACGGCGGCGGCGGCGGTGACGATGGCAGCGGCAAGCCGGCGACAGTGGCGGCGGCTATCTTAGATCTCCTTGGCTCCTTGCTGGAGTTGCTGGGCATTGGCCTTCAATCCCCCTAGTGCTTGTTTGTGCTTCCTATCTCCCTAAATCATGGGACAGTGGGAGGCTAGGAGCCGTCACCATCGCCGGCGGCAAGGCCTCTTGCATGCACTAATCTCTTAGGTAATCCATTGATTTGTTCTTCTCCTGTAACCTTTGTTTTGTGCCTTTCATGAGATCGATAAATTGATGTAGATCTTGGATGTGCTTTTTTTTACTTTGTGTCTAGATTGGTGATGGAGTCTGGTAGTGCAAGTAGTGCAAGTGCAGCTGCAAGTACCACTGCATCATCTCCAGTTTTGCAACTCCCAGCACCTCCAAGCCATGCTACGGCAGCTACGCAGGACACTTCTCCTACTGCTGGTGCCTTGGCACACAATGATGCAATTGATTTGACAATCAATGATGATTCTGAGGTTTTACCTCCTCCTGGTAAGAAGCAAAAGAAGTGTAGTTCTGAAGTTTGGCAGCACTACACTAAATATAAGGTAAGCAAGAAAGGGTCAGATGACACTGTGATTGTAGAGGAGTATGCTAAATGCAACAAGTGCTCATATAAACGTCGGTGTGAGAGTAATTGTGGCACTTATGTTTTCTGGAATCACTTGAATAACAAGCACAACATCAAGTCAGGTCAACAACAACTACAGATGAAAAAGAGTGAAGATGGTACTGAAGGAGCTGTTGAGACATACAGGTATGATGAGACGGTTAGCCTGAAAAAGTTCTATATGGCAATCATCATGCATGAGTATCCCTTTAACATTGTTGAGCATGATTACTTTGTGGATTTTATTAAGTCTTTACGCCCTACTTTTCCAATTAAGAGTCGCATTACTGTGAGAAAGGATATTCTAAACATATATGAAGAGGAAAAGAAGAAATTGTGGCAGCATTTGCTTACACTCTCATGCCGTTTTAGCACAACCATGGACATGTGGACATCTAACCAAAATAAAAGTTATATGTGCATCACAGTTCATTGGATAGATGACACTTGGAAGATGCAAAAGAGGATCATTAAGTTTATGCATGTAGAAGGACATCATTTAGGAAGTAATATGTGCAAAGAGTTTTATGACAGCATAGTTGATTGGAATCTTGATAGAAGGCTTGTTGGACTTACTTTGGACAATGCATCGTCTAATGATGTTTGTGTTAAGGGTGTTATTTTAAAACTCCGTAAAATCTCTCCTTTAATTTGCGATGGCATCTTCTTTCATGTGAGATGTTTCAATCATATCTTGAACCTTGTTGCACAAGATGGTCTGAAACAAATCACAGGAGCTGTATTAAAGATCAGAAATACTATTTCAATTCTAAAGCACTCGCCACTGCAGTTTGAGGCATTTCAGAAGTGTGCCTTGGAAGTTAGTTTGCATAACACAAAGGGCCTTTCCATGGATACTCCTACAAGATGGAACTCCACATTTCTCATGTTGAAGAATGCTATCTACTACATAAATGCTTTTGATAGGTTGTTTCTTCAGCATGGTAGAAAGTATGCAAAGTGTGCTCCCACCAAGGTAGACTGGTCTATGGCAATAGCACTATGCAAGTGCTTGAAGCCATTTCATGAAGCAACTGAACTATTCTCTGGTACTACATATGCAACAGCAAATCATTTTTTCGGTAAGTTTTGTTCCATCAAGCTTTATATTGCTGATTGATGTAACAATACAGATGGAACAATAAAAACCATGGCAAACGCCATGCAAACTAAATATGATAAGTACTGGGAGAAGTCGAATATGGCTCTTGCTGTTGCATGCTTCCTTGATCCACGTTACAAAACAAGTTCAATAGAGTACTATGGTATGAAGATTTATGGTTTAGAAGCTGCAGAAAAATTTGATGAGTTCAATGGGGTTATCAAAAAATTGTTTGATGTTTATGCTACTAGTGCGTGTGCAACATCAAAGAAGAAAGGTGCTGAAATGCATGTGCATCAACTTCAAATTCAATCTGATCCTGTTCATAATACTGATGAGTTTGATGATATCTTTAATGAGAATGACAGTGGCCATGATCATGAGCAACATTTTCAAAGATTTTTGCTTGAGAGAAGTCAGCCAATTTGTAGTGATAAAACCGAGTTACAAATTTACATGGAACAACCACTGTTACTATGGACTTCCAAAGATCCATTTGATATTTTGTCTTGGTGGAAGCTCAAACAAGCAGAATTTCCTATCCTCTGCAAACTTGCTTGTGATTTCTTATGTATTCAAGTGTCAACTATTGCTTCTGAGTCGGCATTTAGTGCTGGTGGCCGTGTTGTTGATCCATTTCGCACCCGTCTTGATCCAGAGGCTGTGCAAGCTTTAGTTTGCACCAAAGATTGGATTAAAGCAGCTAACAATGGTACACTTTGTGTCTGTGTTCATTGCTTATTTGGCCATTCCTTCTTGTATATATCAATATATCTATAGCTGATCCATGATCTGATCTGGCATCATTCTTAGGTTATAAGACTCAGGCTATCATCAATGAGTTGGACATTGAAAGCGTAGAGAGGCATCTGGCAAACTTATTGATAGTGGTGAGCTATTTTCTTATTTTACCTCTATGAATATTTTTCTTAATATAAAAACAATATTATTCGACTCCTGTAGGAAAAAGAGGAGAATAATGATGACATGGAACAGGATGATGTTCTGATGGATGAAATGGATGAATAATGATGTTGCAGTTTTCATGCATCGGACTGCAAGTGTACTGAAAATTGCTTTGGGCTAAATACTATTTTGATCTTATCTGTGTTACCTATAGAACTCGAACTCAATATGTGTTGAACTTTTCAACGTGTTTCGATTTGAACACGATACACTTTGTTTAATCTGTGATGCGTCCTACAACGATGATATTTATATTAAATTAGATAAATATATGTGGTGCATTTGTATCTACGAGCAGTTTGAGTGGTCTCTATATTCCGAGAAATATTCGTTTTCGTATTCGTGTCCGATCATATTCGATCCTTATTCGTATCCGCGATAATTCGTATTCGTTTCCGTATCCGAGTTATTCGTATTCGTTTCCGTATCTGCCTAACAATATGAAAACGGATACGGTAAGAGCATTATCCGTCCGTATTCGCTCCGTTTTCACCCCTAATTAGCCCTCTAATTAAACTATTCGTAGAACGACCAAACCCGGCACAGAAATGAGATTTTGAATAGATTAAAGTCAATGTGATTTTTAAGGGATTCAGGAGATTTTGAATAGATTAAAGTCAATGTGATTTTTAAGGGATTCAGGACAACTTGGAAGATTGTGCCAACGGTATAATTGAGCGTCTCTAAAGCGCAGGCACACTGGGTGCTTGGTACATTCAACATGAGGGCGCAATTTGTGCAAAGCCGACTGTTATCCGATCTGTCCGGTCAACGAGTTACATTCAACATGAGGGTGCAATTTGTGCAAAGCCGACTGTTATCCGATCTGTCCGGTCAACGAGTCTGAAGCCTTTGGCATTAAGGCATTAGCAGCGCGCCACCCATTTTGCGGAGCCTGGGGCTGCCACATAGAACGAAGACACAATAAAAATAATACTTGCCATAAGTCTCACAGTGCTATGTAGCATCAAACAGAAGACACACAAATAAAAAAAAATATTTCTCTCTCCCTTATCCTCAGTCCGCTCCCCACCCAGTCCGCCCGTGCGCCTCCTCCCTTCTCCGGCTGCCACGCCTCCCCTTCCTCATCCGGCACAGCAGCAGCGCTGCGGATGGCGACAGCGGCACGGACGGCCCGAGCGGCAACGCCGACGCCTGGTGGCCCATGTGGCGACGACGCCAGCGGCAGATCGGGAGCTCGACGACGCTGGTCGGCAGGGCGGCTCGAGCGTCTCCCCTCCTCCTCCTCTTCCGGCCGCCGTGGATCGAGGGACGCCATGGCCGGTGGCATGGCTGCTCGAGCGCCTACCCTCCTCCTCTTCTGGCCGCTGTGGATCGGGGCAGTGCGGCAGCTCAAACGCCTCCTCTCCTCCTCTTCTGGCCCGATCCCCATCCATCCAGCGCCGGTGCCACCTTACCGCCGGATCCCCACCTCGGCGACGGCCTCTGGCAGTGGGAGGGCAAGGTCGGCAGCGTTGAATCGGCAGGAGTGAGCTCGACGAGGGACGGCGTGCACGGATCTAGCGGCGGGGGCCGATGAGCTCGGCGAGGGACGGCGGACGCTGATCGGGCAGCAAGGGACGGCGGAGCTCCTTTCTCCCCATCGGTGGCCTCTCCCCTCTCCCCATCGGCGGCCGGTGAGCTTCCCCTTTATGCCCAGCAGCCTTCCTTCCTCCTCTGGCCGACAAGATCACTGGCGTGGAGCACGAGGATGACTGTTCTCTCTCCTCCCTCTCTCATCCTTGACGCGCTGTGGGTCCCACCTGCAACCGAGGAACCCGTAGCTAAAGTTTGCTACGCGTTCCTGGGGAGGCCGTGCATATGGACAATGTGGCACGGAATATTCGACTTTTTGCGCTGAGGCCAAATGCCACGGAGGTGTACTGTGGATGGCCTTATTGGCACTGGCAGCACGGACAAGGACATCAAAAGTGCAGGCGAATGGCGTGAGGGACAACTGACAGGCACGCCTTTGTCAACTAGTTGTTGGAGGAAGAAACTTCAATTTTTTCTAAACTAGCAACGGTGACAAGTGCGCTTCTCATTCTTTGCTCTACAGTTTATAAATTATGAAAATACAAACGAAATAATTAAAAATAAGTTATAGGTAAAAAATATATATCTATATATGTTCTTGATGATTTAAAATAAAATATTGAAAAACATGCTACAATAAAAGTAAATCTCAAAATCAATTCAAAATACAGATTTCGATGGCTAATAAGCCAACGAGCAAACGACGATGAAGTAGTTAGAGGGGCCACTCGGATTGATGCTATTAGTGTTGCCAATCCGTGCATTACAGATGCTATCATATTATTATACTACAATTTTAAAATTCTAAAAATAGTCATCGTCGATGCTTTATCTTAAAAGAATATATATAGTACGTGTCAGTTACGTTTTGTTAACTACAATTTCTTTTTAGTTTAAGATAAATTAATAAAACACTAATTTATATAAGAGTCCAAGAATTGTGCCATATATTATATATTTTAAAATTACTAGAAAACATGCCCGTGCATTGCAACGGGTGAAGTCTATTTTAATCTTATTATTGTTATAGAAAAAATGCTCATGCGTTGTAACGGGTAAAAATATTTTTGTATCGTTATATATTTTACTCATTGGTTTTGGACCAAAAGCTCATTTCATTCCTTGTCAAGTAGAGCTGTAGGTCCGGCTCGCATAGCCTGTCCTCTTCAACCTCCAAAAGACAATGTCGTGTCTGTACATGCCAAAACCAATCCTCCCATCAAATCTTGTCGAATCTTTCTTGATCTTTCAAAATTGGTTGAGGGTCTTTGATACACTCGATCACCTCTTTCCGTTTTTATTAAAATCGGAGCGATAAAACTCGGGATAAAAACGGTGATTTTTAAATAGAGATTAAATTCAGTGAATTAAAGCGGAGTTAAAAGGGAAAATCAGAAAATGATGAGGGCAGTAATGGGGAATTGATTTTTGGCAATCAATTAGAGGAGGAACGCATGGGAAGGCAGATCGACCTAGCGACGACGCTAGTGTTCAGCTGGACGATAAAAAAATATGGCACATAAAAAAATACTTACCGCGTGCGAGAAAATACAACTAAAAAACAACAACAAACATATGAAAAAACCCGGTAAAAAGGCCTAGAAAAAAAGCGAAAAAAGGCGAAGAGAAAAAAGCAGATGGAAAAAATGACGAAAAAAAGACAGACGGAAAAAACTGGGAAAAAAAGAAAAAGAGTGAAAAGGACGGAAAGAAAGAAAAATAATACGGATTAAAAAAAAGAATCGGACAGAAAGAAGGAAAAGAAACGGACAGAGAAAAAAAAGGAAAACGGAAAAAAAAGGAAAAAACGGCAAAAAATAAAAAAAGACGGACGGAAATTTTTTTTACGGGATACTTGCTTATTTTTTAATTAGGTATAGATATAGATTAAACTATATATAGTCCATGCAATTTCTAACTGTATGAACTCTTGACATGATTGATCTGGATTGTATTAATTATTCATCAAACGAACGACCAAATCTTTCATCTTAATTAACGTGTGGGTGTTCTCTTGAAGGGTCTAATTTAGTGTTCCCTCCGTCTTTTGAGTTTTTGCTTGCACTCTTTGACCACTCATCTTATTAAAAAAAAGTTTAGAATTATTTTTTTTTTTGACTTACTTTATTATCTAAAGTACTTTAAGCACAACTTTTCGTTTTTTATATTTGCACAAATTTTTTGAATAAAACGAGTGGTCAAACAGTATAAACAAAAACTTAAAATCCCTTATATTATGGGACGGAGGGAGTATATGTATAGGTATATAAGGTTTTTTTCTATATCCTAATTTTAACTTGTATGTTTGTAGAGCGATTTATTATATATTAATCTATCTTTTTAAATTCTTTTTAAATTTTTTATAACTATTTGGGTGAAATGTAAATATGAGAGGATGTCCCTCAAGAGTTTAGAATCACTCCCTTTTTATTAGAGGTAGATTGTTGATGTTTGCTGGTTTCCTGTAGTGCTACCCTAGCCAACGATCTATGTACTGTTTAGAATTTGTTTTTAGCATTATTAGCTGGTTTCGTTGCATGTTTGCTACCATTAATTGTTTAAAATGAAACGGATAATTATTTACCCTCTCCTTTGATCTGATCATAATTAATCATCCTGATGATGCGACCAGTATTGTTTTCGAATAGGTTCTACGTCAACCTAGCTAGCTAGAGGATCTTGCCAACTATTACTGGGCCTCTATAAACCGTAGCCAACTGAGTGCTTGGTACATTTCACCCGTACAGTGAAATCGACTGCGGGCGAGTGTGCACCCGCGTACAGTGAATGTTGCGAGCGAGAGTGCCCTGATCATCCAAGAGCTAGCATGCATGTCGCAGGTTCGGCCATGGCATTGGCCAAGCATATTGCAGGTGCAGACGCGCCGGTCGTCGTCGTCGTCCACGATCGAGCGAGCGATCTGGCTTTGGCACTGGCATCATGGACAAGGACCGTGAAGGTGCAGGCAACAAGCAAGCAGTTGGGCAAGTAGTGCCCAGAGAATGAGACTTTGTGCTCAGTATGTGTTGTAAGGACATTTGTGTGATCCTATTTTGAATTTTCACACCACTAGATATTAAGAATTGAAGCTGCTCGCATTGACTATACTAGATGATACCCACGTTTTGCTACGGGATATATGTTAGATATTGGAGAAATATGATGAAATAATTTGGATTGAAATATTATGTTGATTTTGAGAATAATGATTTAGCATGTATATGTTTAGTTTTAGAATGAAATAAATTGTGGATATAATTATTATATACTTGCATGTTGAGCTTTATTTGTTTAATGGGTTAAAATGGAATGCTTGCTTGTAAGTTTTAGGAGTGCAAATAAATAAAATGCTTGCATGTTGAGCTTTTAAGTGTTTAGTGTACATTAGC